TGGCCCGATGAGCCGCGCGGAGATGCTTGGATCGCAACTGGCCGAACCCTGCGCTGCTCTCGGACTTGCCCTCATGGTCTGGTGATTTAGGATCGACGGGACCATTTTCGTCGTCGTCAAGTTCGTCCATCTGAAACGACTCGACGGCACTTGACCCACTGTCTTCGTTGCCGTCCATCACACTTTGCACCAAAATCGCGGAAAACATATTCATCACGATAAACACGCCCATGATGATGACGAGGGATGCATACACAGGGGACGAAGCGCCCACGGCGATCCATCCGTCGTACATGACAGCGGGAAAATTGTCGTAGGTCAGGAACTGAAATACAGTGAACGCCGCCCACACGATCGAGTCGAAGTTGGAACGGTGCAGCCACGTCTGTGGGTCTGTATTGTTGAATGGCATCGAGAAATTGTCTGGACTGAACTGGTACCGCGTCGCAAACAGCTACAGAATGGTTGCGTATGAGCAGCCAACGACAATTTCGTGGACGTACCTCCATGCCGACAAGACTAAAGATGAGCATGAACAACAATAGAAACAGCATAAAGTTGAGAATCTCGCCCATCGAGTTAACAATGGCCGACAGCAGCTGGTTGAGTGATTTCCACTTTCGAGCAAGCTTGAACGCGCGCGCGGCGCGTAGCGCTGTAAAGAAACCGTGGCCGCCAGGGTTGCCATCGAACAAAGCAGGAGGATTGGTCGCGGCTTCGATGACTCCCATCACAAATGTTAGCAAGTCGAATCGGTTGAACTTGTCCCTACATACCAACTATGAGTTTGAATCACGTCTGTGGCGTGCCGTGCAAATACGTACGTCCAGAATCGGCGCAACCCGAGCCCGATGATCTTCAACATCGACTCGACGCCAAAGTACAGCATAAAGACAAAATTCACTGCTTCAAAGGTGTTTTGAGTCGACGAGTCAATATCGTGGTAGTCCATGGCGAGGACGAGGATGTTGGCGACCGTGATTGCAAGGCCAACATTGCTAAACAGCCGAGACGTCACGATACGCAGCACCTTTTTGCGAAAGTCGAGCCACCGTCGCCCCATCGACGACTGGATGACCACGTCTCCGTGCTGCATGGCAACAGTACTCAGTCGTTTCAAAAACAGCGAACTGCGGATAGTCAATGGATGTCGTCGTTTGGACGTCGGAATCGAAGCCAATGCCTTCGACATCAGTTCACTAAGAAATCGACCCATGCGTTAGACACTAGCTGGAAGGCCTTCGTGGATCTTACTGTTGCTTCTTCAGCACCTTGGCTTGCAGGTCCTTTGCCTTCTCAAACTCGGTAAACAACACGGCCATGTTGAGCTGCAGCAGAAAGCACATCCCAATGTACAGCAGCGCGTTGAAGTAGATGCCAGCCACCACAGGGCTCCCCGTGCTTTGCGTCTACGCAACAACGAGAATCATGATGCCAGCCCAACCTTTCGTCGCCAACGCACCGTTTGCGTCAACACCATCCACCCGGACGCCGTGATCGTCTGGAGGAGAATGAGCCACGTCCGGCCAAGGTTGTCGAAACTCGGGAGGCCGTAGTTCAGGTTGGAATTAAATAGGGCGTCGTCGTTGATGTTGCCGTCCCACGGCGGTTGGAGGAGGTAGTTGAAGCGGGGATTGCCCCTCGCGTCGAAGTTGGAGCCGCACACGGCGCCCCCTTGGCATTGCCGACCGACTTCGGCCTCTTGGTTGCACACCATCGGGATGACCTCTGACGCGTCGACGGGCCAAAAGCAGTCTGTGGGTACGTCCCACACGTCAATCAGCTGAGAGATCTGCGTGCCGTTCGGGAACCGACACATGAACTGGTTCGGATCGTTCTGCACCATCGAAATGTACGACGCATTCGGCGGGTAATTGAACGTGCCGTTGGGCGGCAGCACGACGGGGAACGGCGTCACCCGACACCGAAAATGATTCGACCCGCGATAAATCTCCATGCCGAGGATGCCAAACACGAGCATGCAAAACATGAGCAACACAAACACGTTGGCCAGGGCCGGTAAACTGGCCAGCAACGAGTTGGTCAGGACTTTCAGACCTAGTGCTGACGTTGAGTGAAGACGACAAGTTGGCGAGCTCACCTGGTAGCGAGTGGAGCGTTCGCAGCGGCCGCATCACGCGCAGCACTCGGATGAAGCCGACTTTGATACCTTTGATGTTCATGATGGACAGCAGCCTGCACACCAGGTTCAGCAGATCCCACATCAACCGAATGACGTACCCCGATACGACGATGACAAAGTCGAGTCGATTCCAGCCTTCGCTGAGGTATGCACGTTCGCCGAAACAGAACCCCATCGCGATGATTTTGACCGTGGCTTCGGCGAGAAATATGTAGAAGCTGACGCCGTTGCAGCTGTCGATGAACCAGTTGATCCAGATCGTTGTGTTGGGCCCTTCGACCCATGCGTCCGTGTAGTCGGTCAGGCCCAGGATGACGGTGTTGAACACGACGCAGAACACGATGAACCGGTCAAACCACTTCCACGTGACGATCTTGATGCATATTCGTCGAAGGGGGTGTTTGGTTGTGAGGCACCCGAGCGCAATTCGTTGAAACTAGATTCAGAATCAGCCAACGTTGAGGAGTCCTGCGTGCAACGTGGAACTTTGTCTCACCTTCTTGTAGTGTGCAGGTACCGGCCCTTGCCACTCGACTTTGGACTCGTATTTGTCGGAGCCCATGATGTCGATTATGGTTCACTCTGCAAAGGCTGCTCCCGCACTGGAAGCAGAACTTAGTCCGCCGCGTCGTGTCGGTGCCGCTGTGCCTGCTACTGCTGAAAAGGGCAGTGCCTCTTGGGCCCTGTAACGCCGTGAAACTCCCGGCCGGGATTCAACAGTACTCGTTTCTTATGTAACCGCTTGGTGTGACTTTGCTGCCGCGTCAGCTCGAATGCGGGCGTCAAGTACAATGTGACGGCATGCCAGGGCATTCTAGCAGTGCATCGTGTCAAGGGACAGCACGCTGTCCCTGTCAATCCATTCAATATTCCTTGCTTTGCCTTTTTTGTACCTATGATGCTGTTGGCAAGAAACTTCTTTGGGCTGTTCGTTTACTGCGTTGAGAGCTCATGGCACTACACGTGGCACTGCCTTGGCTGGGATCATGTCCCGTCGATCTATAGAACACTTGGAGTAGATTCTACATCTCGACAATTCGGCAATCTTTTCATCTAAGAGGCACATTTGACGGTGTCGTCGAGAGCACATCTTGGCCAATCACGTGTTCCTGCCTCCACATGTCCACTCAACTGGGGGCATGTACAATGTGAGAAGAGGGAGTGAAGTGGGTAGACCATGACCCTTGCAAAGACGTACACTGCTCGTACCTCCGCCCGAGTAGAGAGTGGATTTCGACTCACGGGGTTGACATCGTCGAGTGAGCACACTGGTAAAAGACCTTGTTTGGACCCGAGGCGAAATACAAGAATTGTACGAATGTGATCACTGGTGCCACGTGATGTGTCGGTACGAATGGACTATAGTCCCATATCGTTGGCTCATGGCTGCATTACAATACATCATCTTCCTCTTCTTCATCCTTGTCGGCAAAAAATTCATCCTTTATCGCTTTCAGCTGGGCCTCCAACGGTCCAACTCGCGTATTGACGGCGTCCATACCGCGCGCACCCAACTTGTTGACAATCCCGACCAATTGCACCGCCTTTTCACCGACATGGACTGTGGTTGACGCTACATCACGGACATCAGGATCGCTGGCACTGATTGCCCTCGTACCTCGAATTTTCTTGGCCCGTACAGTCTTTTCCAGCACGCGTAATTCCTCGTCGGCAAAGTCGAGCGCTGCCGTCGCCAAGATTGCGGCCGCGTCAATCAGTTGGTCGCCTAATCCCCACGTCAAACACCCCGAACCGTGGCAGGCGCGACAAGCATACCGTGCTTGTCGTATTCTTGTGGAATCTTTAACGTCGACATGCGTGTGAGCTCGTCTTGGTACGTTTTGTTCTTGAAGATCTTGTGCTTGAGTTTCACCTGGACGACACAGCTCGTCACGGTATACACACCACAGCAAACACACTCACCGCGTCCTTGAGCAAGTTGGTGAACTTGTCAATCACTTCCACCTTGTTCTTCGTCTGCGCCGCCAGCACAACTGGCGCGTTTACAATTTGGTCGTATTTTTGAATCATCTGGGACGCGTCGTTGGCCAACGTTGACAGCGACCAAAGCCGCAGATACGCGTTGCCGGCGTCCAGGCGCTGCTGTTCGCTAAAGTACCAATCCCTCGTATCCTTGTTCTTGATGAGAAGCCTAGTCCATCCAACCGTGTGATGAACTCATCGCCAATACACGATCAAATACGACATGCACCAACTTGAGCGCCGCGGGGCCTTACCTTGCCGACCACGTTTGGTTTGCATCCACCCCCAAAGTCAGCCCAAACGCTTCTAACTGGAGCAAGAAATGTCAACGAGGGCTGAGCTATAGCCCTGTACCTTTTTCGACACTTCACCGGCGTACTGCACCGCATGCTACAGTAGACTTCGTCAGACAGCGCGATACATGCTGAATGAACGACGACAGCAACGCACAGCTTCCGACTTGAACTGCATTGTCAAGAGATCGTGGATCGTTGCGTTGATTGCGTCGATGTTATCAACGAGTTTCTTGTTGGATTCCTTGCGTGCCTTCTTCTCCAACTGTTCCACCATAGTCATCCCTCCGCCTGAAGCTTTCACCGTGTCTTCGCCGAAAATGTCGTGCACGGCGTCCGATGCGGCAGCCAACTCAGCCGCCATTTGATCTTTGACAGACCGGACAGGGACTGGAGAGCTCCCTTCATCTGGGTGTGAAGGTGATCGCATCCCGCCACCTCCGCCGCCTCCCGCAGCACCTTGGTAATTCGCGTCAGGTTTCCTGCTCGTGTAACGTAACTTCCGCTGGATACCTGATTCAATCATTTGTTGGTGGTGCATCACCATGGCAAAAAGTTGTTCCATGGAAACTCCACCGACGCTGCCGCCGCCAATCAAGGGCGGCGTAGCTGGTTGGGGAGGTGGTGGCTACACGGCCGCAATTGCATGAGTTCTCGACAATACAGTGGATATTGCAACGTACACCAGGATCGTTTGGCGACACGCCGTCGGGGGTTTCTAGTACATCAGCGTTCAAGCCTTCGGCTTTCATTTTGAGCGCCACTTGCTCCTTTGGCATCCCCATCGAAAGCAATTTAAAATATTTCTTGAATGCAGTGTCGTCTTTGACAAGAAGCGGGGTGTATGGTGGTGGTGTAGCCGCCGCGACTGGTACCACCCCGGAAAATGCATATGCACCGGCAGGGGCAATCGGTTGTGCTGGCGGCTACATGTGTGTCAGTCCTGGCCGACGTTGCGTGCTTACCCCGGGGTCATTTGGCGAGATTTTCTCGGGGTGATCCAAAAGGTCGGGGTCGAGACCCTCAGCTTCCATTTTCATCTTGATTTGATCAATGGGCATGTGCATAGCTTGGAGCTTGAAGTACTTTTTGAATTTAGGATCCTCCCCCACCGTCAGAGGAATGTACGCGCCAGGAGGGGCCTAAACATTGAATCAATTGCATTCTTGTAAGAAAAGGAGTACCCCTGGGTCGTTGGGAGACACGGCATTGGGGGTGTCGAGCAAGGCTGGCGATACTCCTTCCACCTCCATTTTTGCCTTAATTTGGTCCACCGGCATGGCCATCTTGAGGAGCTTGAAGTACTTTTTGAACTTGTCGTCGTCTTTGACAAGAAGCGGCGTGTACACGACGACTTGTGGTGGTAGTGGTGGTGGTGGTGCCATCATCATTGATGGCATGCTCATCGGCATCATGGACGACGAGGCGGGAGGCACAGCAGCGCTAGCGAAGTTGGCCCGCTTTTCTAGCGCCTCCAACTTTTGCATGAGTTTCTCGAGCTCCTTTTGCTTGAGTGACGACGATTTCTGCAGCACTTGGGACGACACTGGCTGCGCCAGCTGCATAGTCGACATCCGTCCAGCCAGCTCCTGCATGTTCACCTGTGACTTCATCATTTCTTCCAATTGTGCTTTCAAGCTCGAAATCTCCTTGGACGACTTGAGAACGTCGGTGGATTTCGAGCTTAACTTGACCAGCTGTGCAATCTGCTCCTCCGTAAGGCCAGGAATCAACATGCCGCTATCTACACCAACGTTATCATCGTGGATGTGTTTGATAATTGCATGGTCGTTACTGTGAAAGGCTTGGGACGACCCGCGCATCAAGACGGAACCACGGCCGCTCTTGCGGCGGTTCAACAAGTCATTCGTCTTCTCCTCGTCTTCTTCCTCCTCCTCCTCTTCTTCTTCTTCATCGCTCTCGCTTTCGCTTTCCTCTTTCAAGTAAACCTTGATGCAATGGTCGCGGTGAGCTTTGAAGTGACGACGCAAGCACCCCTGCATGGTACGTGAACACGCAGCGTAGTTTTCAACATATTGACACTTACGTCGTCGCAGTACACGACGGAATTGCACTTGGTGCATGGGAACGTCGCACCATCCGTCTTGCAGTACGCACACTCTCGTGGCTGGCTGTGGCCTTGCAGGGCGCGCATCAACTCGTCGTCGCTGTCGCTGTCCGCCATCGTGGTGCTGAACGTGGATATGGGCAAGATGATCCAAACAATCAAAATGCCCGGTTTCGCTCCTCCTGTCTTCGTGCGACGTTTTTTGACCTCGTGATAGAAACTGACTGTCGTTTCATTCCGCAATGAGAAACGTTGGGATCTGAGGGACGGAAGACATGTCTCACCACATGCGAAGAAGCGGCGACGGCACATACGTACGCGGCACGATAACTTTGTCCGTCTCCCCAAATGAGGACGCCCTTCCGTTGTCCTCGACAGAATAAATTGCCACTGCGATCCCGCTTTCATACCACACAACGTACGCAATCGTGCGGTCCAATCCATTCGACACCACTGTCGTGATGCTGATGAGACTTGAACTGCGTTCTCATGCAACTTCCTTTGGTAAAGCGCACGGCCCATGCCAGAAAAGAGATGAGAGAATGTGCACAGGTCCCCGAACGCATCTGCGATGGTTGGGCGAGACTAGTTCCCAAAGACGGACGAATCTGGGCTCGCTTGTGATCTTGGACATCCTTCGATAGTGACGCTTTGCAGGGGACAGGATGCTCTCTAGCATGGCCCGTTCATGAGAATGGCAAGCCTCGCTGCTGACTTGGGCAATTTTTCAACCGTTTCACAGTTTCGACTTGCCCCCCACGCGGCATTCGCCACGGCGCGAAGCCCCGTCATGCAGTTTTTCGACGTTCGTACGGAGCGGGAGGTACTCGACAAGGATGGTTTGACACGTGGCGGACGCTCTCCACCGAAGCGGCGTCTACAACAGCCCAGAGAACAGTCGTATGCACTCGTGCCAGGAAAGTTGCTTGAGACAAGCGATGCCACCGCAAAGGAATGTGGTCGTCCACGTCGACAACGACAGCAAACGACACAACCGCGCATCGTCCAGGCCATGGTGCGCCACGAGCCCATCGACTACTTGGCGCTCCGCAGGACAGAACTCAGCAAACGTGCTCTTCTTCGCATGCGCGACGTTGTCGTACGTGAAATCATCGTTCCCACACCAGCCCCCACGAAGGTCGACTCTCCTCCCCGTGGAGAAGTGCAACACAACGCGTTTCTTCAAATGCCATTTGCTGCCGCTGCTCCCATCGAGTGGCATCCCACGGCCAACACAGCGGAAGCGTCCCATGTTGCCCAACTTGAGCACGACATGAAAGAGCTCCATGCCGCACAGGCTTGTGCAGCTGCCGCCATTGCGACAGAGGAGGCCAAAGTACGATAGCTTACTCCGAACGCAACCAACGCCGTGTCATTTAGGTCCGAGAGGCCCTCGCGGACGTCCGCAATGCCGTCGCGACCTTGTACACCTTTACGCCAACGTTTCGCATATGGTCGAGATTCAAGACGAAGTCTGTGATCGAGCGGTGGCAACGGTATGGCAGTCACCGATACGGAAATTGCCCGCTCTTTTTGCAAGGCTCGGACGACATTTCTTCTTTTGCAGGTTTGTGACATGGCATCGCGACGAAGAAGCGAAACTCGTGGCGCTGACGCACTACGGCGTGCGAATACAACGCTTGTTCCGTCGACGTCGCGGACGACTTGCCGGGTTTGTTGACCGTGCTGCGCTCCGGCAGGCGGAATGGGCGTCAGCTGTACGTCAGTCGCTTTGTCGGCATGGCTCGGATATATTCAACTTGATCGTCCACATGTGGTGGTGAGTAGATTCGACTGCAGGCGTGGATGCGGACCATGCTGGCCATTCATGCAATGCAGCGATTGCGAGAGTCCAAATACGCCACGCAGTTGCAGAGGATGTGGCGAGGACGTGTTGGGCGGGATCGTGTCAAGCACATTCTTCGAGAACGCTTGCGCGTGCGCCTTCGGTGGGTGGTCTCAGAACTGAGATAGCATGATGGTCTGGTGAAAAGGTTCTTGTCTCCAACGGGGTCGCTCCATCGCCTTCGAGACATTGCACTGTACCATGGCGAGATGCGCCAGACTCTGGAGCGACTGTTGGCCTTGATAGAGGACGTCCATGTGAGTCTACGAAGCAAAACCAGTGCCCATCGACACAACCGATGCGATGACGAAGACACCGAATTCATCCACGAGTCGTCGAAATTGGTGTCCATTCCAGCGTGGCATGCCGCCATGGCCGACCTCAATGATCTCATTGCTGTTCGGCACTTGGAAATCGATCAGGTATCTCACCTCAATTTCGGCATTGATGCGGCATCTCCAATTCCTGGCACTGTCTTCGAGTATCGCTGCGTTTGCATCTACAGTCGGCTGACAAATGAGTCAGGCAAAACGCCAATACGCAGCACAACGAGCAATTCGAGTGGCGGCAGCGCGCTCTATCGATGCCGCCGACAAGGCACACGCCTTGGCCGATGCTATTGAACGAGTCCGCCGTGCCAACGAATTGATTACCATGTACGTGTGGAATAAGGCCACCATGACAACTCAACAGACATGTCTTGACTTGGTGGAAGGTATCGCGAAGACTGTGAATCGATGGAGTACGTGCGGTCAATGCGCGTAGCCTACGTGGACGCTGCGCTTCGCGCGACAATTCAGCAAAAGAGGCGTGAAAAGGAAGGATGTATGGCGATGCACATGGAGGAACTGCAGACTCGGCACTATATCAGTGAACACGTACTGTCCGTTCGTTTGCATGGATGCAACATCAAACTCCTGTATTTTAGCGTTGGCGGGAAGCCGACCGACGACGGCGGCTGGGAGAAGTCGACAAGGTGGAAGCAATGCGGCAGATGGAAGCAGACGCAGCGGCAGAGCGTCGCCAAGAGTGGGTCGTCACGATGATGCGGCAACAAGATCTGCGAATTCAGCTGGAGCAAGAGCAGAAACACAAACGGATACAGGAATGGCAGCTAAAAACCAAGGTCAAAACCTGCCGTCATCAAAAGAGAAATTGTCATATCTCGAGTAGGAAGAGTACGTAGGACTGTTTGAGCGGATGGAGGCACGTCGCCTTGAAAAAGAGCGACAAAAGGCTGAGCGGAAAGTTGCCAAACGAGCCCGCCAGCAAGAGTTACGCGAACGGTACGTCGTCCACAGCAAAGTTGGTGTCCCTTGACTGGAAGATGTTGGCAGAGCGGCGGCCTTGGAGAAAAGTCGAGTTGCACGACTCATCGATCTCGACCGACAGTTTGACGAACGGCTGTGCATGGAGTCAGAAGAGCGGTAACGAAGTACGCAATTGATTGAGGTGTGCGATGGGGGATGCATTGTAGCAACATGTTGGCAATATTGAGTGAGCAAAAGAAAGCAGAAGAAGCCAAACTGTGGGAAGCCTTGCGGATCAGTGCAAACAAGAACCGGCGAGATCCCTTGGCGCTGGCACCCGACGTACTCGCAATGAGGCAGATTCTTGAGCGAGAACGGCATGCGCGGCTGTCGTATGTTGTCTTGTCGTGTTATTTTGTGGAGCTCACAGCAAAAATACACTTGTAGCATGACAGAAGAAGACAATAGATCGCGCCAGGTCATGGATGCATTGGCCAAGGTGCAGCATATGATGCATTGCAAAGAGCGCAAACGCAAACTCGACATGGACCGCAAAGCAGAAGCAAAAGTACGTGCGGCCATGGAAGCTGAAGAAAAATGGGAGAGAACACGGCTACGCAAACTCGCAGATAAGGCAAATTACGAGCAAACGCTCAAGCGGATGCAAGCTGCCGATGAAGGTTGGCCATGTCGAGAGCTACGTCATGACAGCGTTGCTTTGTGTAGCGTACCGTGCCAAACAAGCAGAGAAGCTCTTCGAAGCGAGGTGCCGAAAGCTCATGCACGACGAAGAGATGCGTTTGCACCGTCTGTACACGGAAGTTCTGCATCGTGAGCGGCTGCGTGAGCGCAAGGAGCGCCACACTATGCGCAATGACGAAATGTACATGCGCCATATTTTGGAAGAGCGCGAAAAACTCCGTTTGCGCTTGATGGAGAAGACACATCGCGTGGAAATGGCAGTCGAAGACGTTCGGAGTCACCAGTGGCAAAACTTGGAGACCGTAGCTACAGTCATTGGTTTGGTACGTAAAATTTTCTTGTTCTGCGAAGGTATGGGACCTTTCATGTGCCGTGAAAAAAGGCAATTTGGTCGGCGCGAGAGCTCAAGACGTTAGCTGCACACGTCACACAGTACCCCAAGATGCTAAGACTGAACGTGGCACTGGTGGCACACATCACAGGACAAAAGGGTGATCCACCTTGGAAAGGCGTGCAATGGACGCCATCAGGTGAGACTTGCGTTGGACTGAAGTAGTCTTGGGTTGAGCTCGGTGTAGACGCAGCGCCAGCAATCGTTGTTCCATCTCGTGCCAAGGAATTGTGGAGTCGACTTCGGTGCGCTGAAGTCCCAATGTGTGGGCACTAATGGAGATATCGTGGCCAGGAACAAGTACGCAAAGCGGGCGATTGCTGCCATCGAGGCGAAGGCGGGTGCAGATGCGTTGTACGCTGGAGATTTTGTTCGAGGTACTGCATGGTTTGTCAGACTCGGGGAAAACTCACGAACGACCACCAGCCCAACGCAACCTGCGCATGGCATTTCGGGATGGGTACAAAGGGGGAAATCTCCTTCGCAACATAGCCAAGTGCCACGTCAAGCTGTATGAGGCATACTTGAACGACAATGATCTCCGCATGGCATGGACCTGGTATATCAGAGCCGTGGACCACATGGACTTGCAATCTTCGCCCGCATTTCTCGATGAGATGGCACATGCTTTGTACTTGCTGTGCCGTTTTCAGCACTCGGCAGAGATTCTCTCGAGGGTACGTACGCAGTAGTATGGGTAGACAAGACCTGATCGCCGTGGATAGATCATTTACAATTTTCCAACGTACGTGCGGATGCCCTTGGTGATTTTTCGCGCGGCCATGTTGATGTGGCACTTGGGTCTGTACGAACAAAGTACCGACTACCTTTTGCACTTACTGGAGTCGCCACCTGCCCCCTGGACCGACCTTGACTTGATGTTTTTCATCGCGAGGTTGTACCTTCTCGACGAAAACAAGTCGCACGCTACGTTTGCATATGATGATGCGTTTCGCCGCTACCGATTGCACGGGTTCAGTTTTCAATACCAGTCATGGAAGGCTTGGATCAGTGATGCTGCGGTGTGGCGGTATTTTGGGGCCAAAGCGCTAGCGGCCAGCGAGTTCTTGGTCGCAAAGGACATGTATCAACAAACTATCAAGCGCCGCCATGACGAAGCTCATCTGGAGCATCGCCGAGCAGTAGGTGATTTTCTACAGTGTCGTCATCTTCACATTGGTGTCAATGCGGTTCAGGAACATGACATGGACTGGTTTCATTTGGCCCAATGCCAAATCATGCTGCACGAGTACGTATCGGCTGGTCCAGCAGTAGCGCATTGGCTGAAGGCTGTACCATATGCCGATCGAGTCCTAGCGAGATGTCAGGCATGGCCGCGTGACAAATGGACAGCCATTGGATTGATTCCGGAATGGGCCATGGAGCAGAAGGAGGAGATTGCATCGATGCCAAAGGTATGTTGCAATCGTAGCATACACCGACATCGTCGTGGTATTTGTAGAGGGCCATGGCGACTCCAAAATTCAAACGGAAGCGAAAACCTCCCGCGAAAGTACGAAAAAAACACACTCGACGGCAACCCCAGCGTGTCAAGTTTACCACCACTGCGGAACTGCGTCAATGGGTCGAAGTTGAGGACGCAAACACTGGCAAAGCGTTTTACTTCAACGAAAAGACATTTGAAGTGGCGTGGACGCGGCCGACATAACTCAACGCAATAATTCCGTCAGCACAAACGAGTCGTCACGACTTCGTTTCTTGGTTCGCAGTGTTTTATCGAAACCGGGCCAAAAATGAAGGGTCTCATCGGCGCTCAACGTAGCAACCGTAGTACCGTCGGGAGACGCCGTCATATTTAGGATGCGACGGGCGTGGCCACCATATTCCTTTATCAGGGTCATCCCAGCAACGTCCCATAGCTTGATCGTATTCGAAACAGGTCCGTGCGACGACAACAATTGCTTGCGGTGGTGGAGCTCAGGTAGTGACCAAATGAGGCCAGATACTTGGGACCCTGTGTCTAACGAATGCTGGAGCTTGCACGTGCGTTCGGTGATGCGCCACCATTTTACGGATTTGTCACTGGAGCCACCACCTGTTGCCAAAACTCCAACGTCCCAAGGACTCCACCGGAGCGCTTTCACAGCGGCATTGTGGGTGTCGATGACATGCAATGGTGTCAGGCGTGAGAAATCTTTCGACCAAATGCAGGCGATGTGGTCGCTGCCACCTGACACGAGCATGCGTTCGTCGGGAGACCAATCGAGGCCACAAATTTCTCCAGTGTGATATCGTAACGTTGACACTTGATGGTTTGGCTTGCGCGGGTCGTGATGTGTAATCGTGTTGTCTAACGACCCGGTTGTCAGAATCGCACCTCTCCACGCGATACTGCCTACTCGCGCAGCGTGACCATTCATTCGCGATATGCATTGCTTGACGTGAGTGTCCCAAACTTGGGTTGTCCCGTCCTCAATCCCCACGGCGAGTAAGTGGCGGTTCATCGCCATTCCCCACTTCAATGATGTAACAAGATGGTTTCGGTACGACACGAGCTCGAGGTGGGACTTTGTTTGACGGTTCCAAAGGTACACCGACTTGCCCAGAGCTATGGCAAGGATATCCAATTCGCCCCAATCAAGCAGGTTCAAGTAGAAATCGTTTTCCACAAACGGTGCATCCATAATTCGCGTAGCCGACACTGTCGTCACAATTGCGGATTCCACATGGCGCAGCAATATAGCGTTGGAAACTTTTTCCATTCGATGTAGGGCATTGCTCGTGAGGTTGTAGACTGGCACGAGGGAAAGGTCAGGCACTCCAAACATCGTGTACGTCATTGCTTGGTGGAATGGCGTCATCTTCTTTTCGGACGTGGGGGTGTGCCCTTGCACATGCATAGCCGACACGTCCATGTTCATCGACGAGCGGCTAGGAATGTATCTGTCCATTCCTCCGGGCTGTATGCGCTTCGTTCTCTTCGCCATGGTAGTTCGTCAGAGATTCACTTGTGACTGACAGGTGAAATTGAAAAGTGCGCCAAGGTCGGTTTCACAATCGTCTGATTGGCTCTTCGAATTTTGTATTATCGTTTGATTAGATGTACTTAATCTTCTTGCAAGGTGATTGGCTATATTTTCGTTTTCTAATCAAACACTTTGGTCGCGTGGGATTGCACCGTCTTGAACATGTGCTGATACAGAGCATGAACAATCGAGCAAGACGACAACGTTTTCTCCCGACGAGCGCTTCCTCCTCCTTCCGCCGGAACGTGGTACACGAACGTTTGAATCGGCATGATCACCCGGGACGTGCTCGTGATGAACGCGCCGCTCCATTCGTCGATTTCGTCCAAGCTAGGCGATCGTAGTTCCACCGGAATGCTGAGTGTCGCGCAGCTCTCAAGAACCAGATCTCGCATGGTGCCCTTGAGAATGCCTTCTTCGGCCGTCACGACAGCGTTGTTCTACGTCCATTCAACCAAATAGCATCTCGCATGCCGCAGGTACAGCTGTCAAACCACATGAAATCACCAAGCACCATACAACATATCCACAACAAAACCCAACTACGGACGATTGAGCCACAAATATCGATTCAAGTAACGAACCTGTACGACAAAGAAGTTCGTTTGGGAGCCTTCGAACAGTCTGCGCGTCTTTGGGTCCATCAAAATGATCTCTTCCGTCCCAGGAGTCATCGCTTCGTACAGTGCCTGTCGGTCCTTTGCCCACTGCAGGTCCTTAACCTGCGCATGAATTCGTCAACTTTTAATCGTACCCCGCACTCTCTTTATAGTGATGTCGGACCAGTGGGTTGTTGCGAGGCTGCCCGGCCACTTCCACCTTGACATTTGACGATTCCTTGGGGCAAAGGAGACCCACATGACAAAGGATGTCGCCTTGGCCCTAATATGGAACAGGAACTCAGGAAATGCTGAGCAAAGAAGCCGCGCAAGAACCTCGACCACTTCAGTCATGTTGGTTGCAGTTGGATACGGCTGCATGATCATGGTCAGTTTGAACTCCTGGTCATCGGGAAGGGTATGATGGCTTTTAAGATCGACCATGGCAGCGCGGAGGGTCGCAAGCACTCGCGGTGCAATTCCTAAACAACACGATTGAGCGCACAAGGACGGATGAGCGTCATCGCACGTCTCGCCAGTTCGTCGTCGGTGGCATCCTTCACAATGGCCTTGGTTGGTTGCACTGGAAATTCTATTAATGAAGCAGACATAAGGGTCCGACGGTGCTACCGAGTCGCTTCAAGTGGCTATCGAGCGCAAACACAAACGTGGAATGGACGGTGCGCGCGGCGCTGTAGACACCTGCACATTTCCATGAGTCGTGCAGTGTCCAACAACAGATCATCGCAAACCTTGAGGGCATGACAGGACGAGCGCAGAGCTGTCCTTCTCGTACGGGAACGCGACACCGTTCTTGGCGGCGGCAACGAGTGCTCGGCGCATCTTTGCTCAATTGGAAAATCAGTGGAATTCCACGTGCGAACTCTCACCTATTCCACTCGCTCTCCAGTATCATTACTCTCTCTCACAGTTTACAGTATTAATAAAATATGGATTTTGGAATTTCAACTCACTGCCCCAAAGTACTCACAACACTCAACTTGTTGTGCAATTGGAAGTGGAAGAAAAGGTTGCGGGGATGGAACGACGTCCACTATAAACTCCATGTGCGTGTTGCGCGGAGTGGAAGGGCTTTATATGAGTCTCATATGAGATCCATGCAGAGGGAGGTATGTCATTCTATGTCGAAGTGCAAGGAAAAGGTGACAGAGACAACTAAGTACTTCGCATTAATTCCTATCCGTGAGTTCACACGGATCCGAATTAACTGGAACAAATTACATGAATGTACACTTGACGTTCATGTGGCTCCCTTTTGATCTGGCAGATTAAAATCACCATACTTGTTCATGGATGCACTGGAATTGTATCTACGAATTGTTTCTTGCGTACTTGTCACCGCACGAATGTCTGGCTGCGTTCAGATCGTTGGTTGCTGCACGCTCTTGCAGCACCACGGACTTAAGCCAACACACCCCGGACCGATCGGACGAAGCTTATGATGGCCAATCGATTGGTAGTTCATTTGAAGGATATCTGTTCACTAACGCTATCACGAAGGCGTTCAGGTTGATCACCAAAATCAACATGAAACGCTGATAAGGTCAATTCCTGTCCTTGTCGAATCCAAACTGGCGTGCACTACCCGTAAGCTGTGAAAAATCTGCACATCGTGGATCGCAACACGGGGTTCGCTTCCTGCCGGAGGAACGCACATGCACGACTTATTCCAGCCGACAAAGGTTTATGGGGTTCAAGTCGAGGACTGCATGATCCTCTTCCCCGTCGTAACCACGTCATCAGCGTTGCTTCATCATACCCAAGCGTTCCAAATCCATTCATGGCACGCCACGACTGCGACGGAGCATTGGAAGACCTGTACACAGGCAACGCGATGCTTCTCCCGCGCTATGGACATTTCGTCGAGTTGCCGTGGGTCGCGCCTGGACAGTTTGAAAATGTAATCAGTCCTGTCAAAGAGCATACTGATGCATGCATTTTCATAGGATATACGTTGCCAAGTCATCAAAAGCGAGAGGTTTTCGTCGGATAAAGGCCAAATTATACGGATATGGCCGTGATTGGTCCGTTTGTTTTACTGGCAGGCAGGGATGACTGGCTGGGGCGGTCCTCTTAGCTTTTTAATGCGGCAGTAAGTTCCAATTTAACTTGTGATCAGGTAAGAACGACGAAGATGACGGAGTCGACGGGACGTGGGCGATGCATATCTCGATGAAGCACCACACGGCAATGAAGAGGTTGTGATGGTGGTGGTGGTGGTACTGTCCGCGATGTCGTTTGTCGCCATGTCCACCGACCTTTGGCACAGGAAACCTTCCCCGGCAACACAACTATAGGCACATGGTGGCGGTACCCCGCAATGACATAATGCGACCGACAAGCCACCACCCCACCATCACATCCGACGTGTTGTCGAAAGTGCTGCCTTGGTCTTCAGATTGCGTCGGTTCCCGCACCCCGTGCCGCCGGAACGCTGCGACGCGATATTGTTTGCTGATAGATCGTCTTGTATAGTCCCAATGAAGCACAACAACGTTATCCCGAACGGTCACTTCCACAAGGACTGGCAAAACCGCATCAAGACGTGGTTTGACCAAGCCTCGAAGAAGAAGTCGCGCCGCTTGACACGCAAGGCCAAGGCTGCGGCCATTGCCCCCCGCCCGGCTGCCGGCCTCTTGCGCCCTGCCGTGCACTGCCCTACGATCAAGTACGGCTCCAAGGTGCGCGCTGGCCGTGGCTTCACTTTGGACGAACTCAAGGAAGCTGGCATCTCGCGCAAGCAAGCCTTGACGATCGGTGTCTCGGTCGACTACCGCCGCACCAACAAGTCGGTGGAATCGCTCCAGGCCAACGTCCAGCGCTTGAAGACGTACAAGTCCAAGTTGGTCTTGTTCCCCCGCAAGCGCGCCTCGAAGCCGAAGGCTGGTGACTCGAAGGTCGAGGAAACCAAGAACGCGACCCAATTGATCGGTGCTGTGCTCCCGATTGCTCGCCCCTCCAAGGAAGTGCCTACCGCCAAGATCACGGAAGAGTTGAAGAACAACTCCGTGGTTAAGACCCTGCGCTTGGCTCGTGCCGACGCCCGTCTCGTTGGCCTCCGCAAGAAGAAGGCCGACGAAAAGGCCAACGCCGACAAGTAAGGAGCAAGTCATGGGTGATACGATGCGACTTGTAGCGTTCGTTGGTTTGATCGATTGGAACACGAAAATAAGAGAACAAACGAACATATCGTCTCTCTGTCTCTGTCATTGCTTGTCCTGGTGGATGGCGACTTGGACGATGTTTTCTCGACTGCCGTGTCGGTTGCTGTCCCATCCATGGTCCTGACGAAGTCTGTGGTGTGCGCCATGCATCCTCGTTCTTCATGTGTTGGTGTTTGGATCGTACGTTGTCACAAGTCGTGCCGACGTTCGTAGTAGCTCTTGCGACTTGTGCGTGCAACGTCGTCCAACGTGCTCAACCACACTGGTGCCATCCCATGTGGGCGATGCTGCTCCATGGTTGACAGACGAGTTTTAAATATTCGAAACTTCAATTAAAAAGAAAAGAATTCCAGCGCTTTTTGAAAACAGACAAGTTTATTTACAAAAGGCGCTTTTTGGTTCTTTTTGATATTGACCCGTGGTTTCGACCGAATTGGTTGGTTCATCATCGAGGCGCCAATGCGAAATTCTTCAAACTGCATTCCACGTCCAAGATGGGCCGAGCGCTTAAGGGACTGGCGAAGGCCAAGCGTGTGTTCACGGTAGACGACGACGAGTATGAAGATGGCACGACCGCCAATGTGCACCATTCGGACGATGGGGGATCGGCGTCCGACGACGACGACGACGATCATTCGTACGAGATCCGACGCCCTTCGACCTTGCGAATCCAAGCAAGCCGCTTTGACGATACCGACCCAACTTATGAAGGTAAGGTTGTCAAGCGCGCTGATCTTCGTGGAGATGGAAGCAACAACGAGGACGAAGACGACGACGATGACATGGAGCGAAACATGGAGGAAGAATGGTCGGAAGGGGAACCATTTGCTGCGTCTGACCATGACGACGCCGGTGATTCGGACGATGCGTCGCTCGATGAAGAAGTTGAACTCGACGACGACGGTGAAGATGATGAACAAGAAGGAGACAGTGGTCGCCGCCGCGTTCCTCGCGGTCCACTTGGCGACAACGACGATGTCGATGACGTTATTCGAAATCTCGAAGACGAAGACGACGCTGCCGTCCTGATGCGTAGTGCAGACGCTGGCCAGCATGATCGCGCCAAACACGTGTATCACCAAAAGCTCATTTACGAACGGTGCTTGGAGCTGCAGATTTCCATCAAGCAGATTCTCACTGCGTTGCACAGCGTCGCCGCCGACATGTCTGCAGAGAAAAAAGCTCAGTTGACGTCTTCGATTCGCACGTCCATGTCGTCTCTCAGTGCCATGCAGCAACAACTCTACACGCTTCCAGACATGTCGGCCGCCCTTAGCTCCAAGAAGCGCTCGTTCGACGACATTGCAGACACTTGGGACGCCATCGAAGGTGAATCCAAGGCCGCTCTCGGGGTGTACGAGCCCATCTTGAACAAGCAGACTGTACAGGCCGACACCCAAGGCAAAAAGTTCAAGGCTGTCAACCAAGATATCCTCGTGCAAGTCGACGCCATGCTGGCCGACACGCAGCGCATTCGACGCAAGGCGCACCCCGTAGTCGAGGCGGACGACGACGCCACCGACCACGATGACGTTCTGGACGAAGCCACGTACGACGATAAAGACTTTTACCACCACCTGCTCAAAGAATTTATCGAGTCGGGTACGACCGTCGACGACGCCGCCGCAACCGCTGCCGCGCAGCTCAAGCTCAAGCGAAAAGTCAACAAAAAGGTCAATCGCAAAGCCAGCAAAGGCCGCGTCATCAAGTACACAGTCCTGCCCAAACTTCAGCACTTCATGTTTCCCGACCCGACCGCGTACCGCCGCACGGATATCAACGTAGACGAACTCTTCCGCTCCTTATTTACATCGTCTGCAGCAACCAACGACCCTTAATGGAAAAAAAGTACCTTGCGACTCCTCGCTGAAAATTCACCAAGTTTTGGAACTAAGCCGACAGCAACGGTCCATGTTGTTGGGCACACCTACGCCGCATGCTTGCCGTGCACGTGAGTCAAGATGCGCCGACTGGCCGCCATGGCATGGCAGAGCACCGGTTTTGGCATGAGTACGCTATCGTGACGTGCTTTCCCAATCAACGACTGGGCATACCCGTTTGACTGGAACCAAAACGACAACGATGCGCCCCATCGTTCTTGAGTGAGACTTGTCTTGGACAGTCGAGTAGTGCCATAGCGCGGGCGAATGTTTCACATGCTGAGACTCGATCGGTGCTCCATGTCCTTGGTGTTGCTATGAATGCCGCCTGCGAGGACCACGAGTCGTTTCATCGGAGTGGACAGGGTCCAAAGTCGAGGTAGACGGAGTCCCAGCCAACGCGGCCGGGCGACATTGCATCCAGAGGACGCATTCCCCTACGACGGCGTGTGCTTGAGCATTGAGACGACGCCGTGAAGTTGTCCGTTCCCTTGTGGCATCACGGCCACCCTGGGCAGAGATGTCAACGAAACAAAGATGCGAAAAACCGTCCGTTGTCTACACGTCACTCTTGAAAAGAAGGGCACGAGACGAACAACACGAGTTCTGCGCACGTCGCCGTGTCGTGGGCCTCGTGTCCTGGCGGCGAGAAGCATGTGGGTCGAAGGGACCAAGCAATCTTACATCTCCTGCTGGAATGAATCGAGAGAGCCAACTTGCCACACGTGGACAGCGCATGCACTTCCATTCTTCTTTAGCGCGACGGCACCACTCGAAACACCCTCACGTTTCTACTGCAATTTCCGCACGTTCGCTCGCTGATGGTTCCTGGAGGATCGGTTCGTAACGTTACAACGGCGCGAAGGAGGCATCTGCCAAAACTCCGCCGCCTAGATGTCCAAGCGTCGACTGCGCAGCTAGGATGCATGTCCCAATCGTGTGCACCCCACCATAATGTTCGCTGTTCTGCATCTCGTCGTGCGTGAGGAGCCAAATGGGCAGGTAACATCCTCGGCGCGATCTCATGCCTACACACGGCCGCACATGGCAAAGCGCCGACGCACGGATACGCGCGAGTGTTTCCTGGTCTACACCCACACAAACGACGGCATGGCTTCGCTGCATTACACCCCGTGGGCATCGACCGTCGTTGCTTGTGCGGCGAGCATCGTGCCGTCCAAAGTTGTACTATCAAGCTGACAAATTTCGCCCACAGGCCAACGATCTTGCAACGAACGGTCACCACACTGTCTGGCCCCGTGCACGACAGATTCACCATCCGGCGACGTGACACCGTCAATTTACACGCAACGAACGGCCCGCGGCCACTAAACCAGACCAAGGGTCGCCATTATAACTCCATAAACTTCCTCTCGCTTGCATGCCATGCGCAGGCCGACTCTGGAGGATGGCGATCCCGCCGCCAGAGGAGCTCCGGTCGGCGTGTGCAGATGGGGTGCCTGCGACATTGTATTAGGTAGCGCTTCATTTTTTGATGGACCAATCAAATCGCTGTCCAACGGCTAAATCGGCCTTTGATTGGCTAGTGTCGAAACTGGATATCCCCACATGCTCTCGTTGTCACGCACGATCGATGGGTTCGACCAGCCCCCACTTCACAACTCGCCTCCCTCCGACCAGACGCCAACGCGATGTTGGCTGGCATGCGCTCATCGCCGTCCAGGAAATACAAGGGAGAAGATCTCGTCAAACAATCGCAGCTGGTCAAGGTCAAGCCGTCGCCACCGTCGGCGTCGACCAGGTTCACGCAATGGATCGCATCGCTCACCACCCGACAGGCTAAACTCCACCGACTTAAGAAGACGCCGCACCCCACACAGACTCCATCGACACCAACAACGTCCAAGCAATCCATTACCCGATTAGCAGGGCATGACGCTGGAATCCCGGACTGCTGTCGTCGCTTTGTCAAGAACGCCCTCTCCTCGAAGCAACCGACGTACTCCTCCGGACGTATTTACTACAAATACCTCGATGGATCAATCCTTCTCAACCAGTCTACCGTCGTGGGGGGTCGTCGCGTACCATTCTTCACCCCCCACGTCTCAACGTGGCGACAAGAGCGACCGAGACTCCGCGCATTGACTCCGATAGCCGAAGAATCCCAGGAAAAACTATGCGAGGGCTGTCACTCATACAAGTTTAGCCATCAACCCAACACGTCCTGCGTTGCGCTGACTCGCATCATTCGACGTGTGTCAAGCCACCGTCATTGCGAATCGTCTGTGGTTCAGGCGCGACTCGTGTCGTCGGCAGCTCCTGTCCCTGTGTTCGACGTCTAATTTACTGTCGTTGTTTCATGGATCTGCCGCATACCGTTCTGCGGGATCTCGCCGCGCGAGATCGCGACGCCGGCAGGCTGTGAGTGGGACGACTTGGCCTTGTTTGTCTCCAGTGTTTCAAAATTTGGAAAAACTCGAGTCGAAAATTTGAATTTTCGTGTGTAATCGACCAAGATTGATTCTATTTTTCGAATATCATGCTGTTTGGTCGATGTCACCAAAAACTGACGCATTAAAACGACCACCATGATGCGAGGCACGACACGGTCGATGTGCACGAGGAAGAGCGTCTCGGTGGCACGAAGAGGGCTCGGTGCGTTCATGCGTCGGTATAAAGCACAGCGCCGAGCCCATCTAATATATCAATCCCTTCTTTGTAATTAATTCCCAAGATCTTACTTTAAGTGCATAAGGTTTGATGTTGAAGCTCCAACTTGACATAAATCAATCAAATTTCCAGAAAATTCAGAATATTTCGTCCCTGTTGAAATGTCTATTTCTCAGTCAAGCAAGCTTACATATACCATCACATTCTACAATTGAAGTTTTGACAATTTGAGCTTACCTTTGTTACCTCCGTTACTCTTGGGAGGTGACCGCCCCAGTCAAACTACCAACCATGCATGGTTGATTCCTTTTCAAGGATATTGGATATCTATTATAATAGAAATGGTATTTCAAAGAAATCTAAACAATTCCCTAGCAGGAAGGTATAAGATTACCACGTATTCTACTCTACATACTGTATACCAGTACTATAAAAAAAAAAACAATATAGTGATGTTGTAAAGGTTCTTTAAATCCTGCAGTTGGTCGTACTCATCATTTTTATTTGATTTTATTCCAGATATGTACAAATATCCACTTGACATCGAAATCACTGACAAAGACCTGAGTAATTGAACACGAGGTCTATTAATAAATGTAGCAGATTGTAATAATGTGCACGAGGAAGGGCATCTCGATGGCTGGACGCAGCGAGGACGGCTCGGTGCGTTCATGCGTCGGTACGAAGCATAGCGCCGAACCTTTGCCTTCATCCTTGCATTGCCTGGGTCGACCAACGTCCCCCCATCGCTAGAATCGGTTTGCTGGACCCATCCACGCGCTCGCCGGGTGGTCATGCCCCTTTGGATGTGTTTCACGACGTCAGCTCCCAGCATAGCTCGAACCTGCCTCGCCATGCTTCC